TAATTTTGAATCTCTCCGTTTCAATGAAGCAGACAGATTACCTACCCTGGATGCTCCTCTTAAAGAAGGCCTTGCAGCCCTCACAGGACCACACCCCGTAGTGGTACCCAGAGGCATAGTCACTGCACACGGCACAGAAACGCATCTCCTTGGCCATCTCAAACCCCCCGGCTCCAGCCCCTGACTCCCCCACACAGTAGGACTCGTCACTGGTGGCACACTGGTCCTCTCTGGGAACTGGCTGCTGGCTGGAGAGGACACTAGACCTGCAACAGGGCATTGATTTCAGCTCAGTTAAATTATCTTAAAATAATTGTGAGGCATATATATATAATAATATAAACACTAGCTTTCTTGCAATAAATTATAGCTGGACATGTTGTCAAGAATGTCTTGAATAGAAGTATTTTATCATAAAGAGTAAGAGAACTACCTAACTACTAAACTACCAACTACTTAAATAATATTTACCAAACTGACTTTAATCTGCAAACAATTATGTACTTGCAGTGTTTCCCCTAGGATGGAGTTGTAGCAGTGGAGGTGAAGCAGAAAAAAAAGCACACTCACAAAAGCATGCAAACCATGCCCTGCAAAAAAATATGCAACTTCATTTTGGACCATATCTGTGTACAAAAAGTTGGAAAAGCTCCAACAGAGTATAAATAAATAACACCCAAAAAACTTAAAGACTAAACTTGTTTACTGGGGAGAAACTACAACCATTAGATGTGGGAAAAGTCATTTAGTTGACGTGCTATACAATCATTTTCAACATTCATGGTACAGCACCCAAGTTGTTTTGAGCTTCTCCACTTAAGCCTTATAAAGGCAGGGAAAATCCTGCTAATATGACCTCAGAATTTTTATAGATAGGATTATTTATGTTTCCATTTTGTCTTAATTTACAGTTTTGGCGTTTATCTGTAGAAATTAACATAAAATAGGCAACATGTAAGAACCAGCATATTTGTTCACTCCCTTCTGTGGAAATACCAAGCATTTCATTTGCACATTAAAATCCAAAAGAAACGTCTCCTCATTAGCCTAAAAGGTTCACATCTCTAATTTGCTTTACTAACCTCAGCTCCTCCATGGTCACCACCGTCCTTTCTTTTCCTAACAACCAGTTTTTCAGACTCATCTGAAAATTAAAATATAATTTAACTATCAGGATGTGCAGCATGCGTACAGAACAGAGCCGTAACGTTACACCAGTTCAGTCTTGTACCTTATGTTCTTAACACTGGACAAGTAGGTACTAATGCTGCAAATTAACGTTGCTTCCAATGAATTTAGCTAACGTTACATAGCATCCAAATATAGCAGTTTCCTGCTCAGCTTCCAGACCGAGGCTTCAGCCCAGGCCAGATCTTTGCTAGCGCTAACCGTCTTCACTTTCCCAGCAGCTGGGAAACAAAAGACATACTTTTATTATTTTATTACCGCACACACTGTGACATCCACTGCACATTTACTGTTTTCCTCAACTCCGCTAACTTTCACTTGCTATCTCTCCTTCGCTCACCCAAACAAACGCAACGATCACCCATTACGCACATCCATTACGCACTGCCCTATTAACTACTTAGCAGTAAGGAAAGGCGGTGCGCCCCATAGGGGAAACACTGACATGTACTTCTGTTGTTCTTACGTATTGTTCCTTTCTCAAGGTCCTTGACAAAGTCCTTAATCTCAGGAATTAGAACCCAGGTCAAGGCTTGATCATTTTTATAGAGATAGTGACAATGTTTTGTATAAAGCAAAAGATAAAAAAAAAAAATAATAATTCGGATACATAATTACGTTTTGTGCATAACTGTATTGTGATGACTGAACCAAATGCCAATACTAATACGCAAGTGAAAGATATTAAATCTAGTTATATAGCAATATTTTTCCCTATAGCCAGTCACTCAGTAGGAAACACAAAGTAGAGAAAATACAGTATTATTAGGAAATTTATAAATTATGAACAAGATAAACAAACTGACAATTTATTTCTTCATGGATATTATTCTTTAACTTTGTCTTCAAATCATTATGGGGTGGGTGAAAAAAACATAATGGAGATGAGCTATGACATTCTGATTGCACTGCTCCCTCCACTAGAGCACAAACAAAACTGACCAAACAATCAGATTCATGCACTGGAAGTGGCATCTCTCACAAATGACTTATAACTTCACTTTTTAAAAAAACCCATCCAAGCAGTGGATGCAGTCTACAAAAACAACTTTTTTCAGACACTTTTCTCCACTCTGGTGATGAAGAGAAATTGTATTCCCTCACCTGTAGACTGGTGTTGAGGTGGTTTCCAGATAGTGGTGGCTGGGCGGGTGCATAAAGGGGCTGAGTCTGGGGCTGGACGGCACAAACACAAGAGGACTGGTAGGCCCACTCCCCAGGGACTGAAGGCTGCCATCTGAGGGTGGCCCTTGGGCATCCAGAGGTGCAGAGTAGTAGCCTGAGTGGCTGTAAAGAGGAGTTGGGACAGGGGTGGGGGCGACATAATCGTAGGTCCCTTCCAGAAAGTCCACAGTGGCTCCCCCTCCGGACCCCCGGCTCTCTTCGGGGTACATGTCACTGAGAGGGGCACGCAGCGGAGGCGAGGGATGTTGTGGGGAGAGGGTCTCCAGCTCTGTGAAGGCTGGGCCAATCCTGGGTCTGAGTACTGTTCCACAAGGTTGCTTGCTCTGCGCCGGGCTCTGCCTGAGCAACATCACAGCACAACAGCACTGATATGCAACATGTTTTAGACTTGCTCTCCCATTTGCTGGGAGGGGGAGTGGAGACGAGTGCTGCTCTCACTCTCTCTTTACTCCTTCCTCACTCTCTCTCTTGTCTCTCCCGCCTGTCAGGCAACTTGAAGGATCCACTTTTATTGTAGTCCCTATCTGCCTTGAGCTTCCGCCCACTAAGCTCAAAAAAAAAAAAAACCATCAAAAAAAGACTCCTCCCAACCTCCTTAAAGGTTTTGTTTGTCAGAAGAGCCTTTCCCTCTTTTCCTCTAATGGAGGAAGGGAAGGCTGGTGGGATAGAGAAAGAGGATGGACAGAGAAAGAGTGATTCCTAAATAACACCCTGTCCTCTCTCTATCACACACCACTATAAAATGTTGTCTTCCCACTTCACATTGAAAAGCTTTTATAGGTTGCAACTGTTTTCCTGAGAAAAAAACAACAACTGTAAACTAGCTGTTTCATTTAGCCGATACTCAGCATTCTACCAGCATGACGTATGATCGGTCTATTTGCAGCCAGATTATTGAATACACCTGAGACTGCAGTAAATCAAATGGAAATGAGAAACATTAGGACAATGGGTTGTAACAACAGAGGCTATAAGAAAGGCAAACTCTACCAGGATACACTACTCACCTCTTACACATGAATCATCCTCATATCGACTGTGAAACACTGGGACTGCACATGTCTTCTCACTCCCTCTCTGCTTGCCTCTCTCGTCTCTCTGACATCTAGCTGGGCTCATTGGACACAATGGAAACAGTGGGAAGGTTAAAAAAAGGATAAACAAATTAAAGATGCAGCCAGATCGATAACCACGGTGTATTTAAGTGGCAGGTCACCATAACACAGCAAACAGAGCAGGTCAAATGTCATTCCAACAGCCAATGATTACGCAATCCATGAGAGGATCAGTGGTTATTATAATTATTACCTGTTAATTGTTATCTTTTTATAAACATTACAAAGAAATTAAGAGAATTTGAAAAAGCATACCTTCTTAGTGACACTTCATTGAAAGGAGCATGATGTTTCCCATAGGACCACAATACGCGCCAGTTATTCATTGCATTATCAGGGCAAGTCACGGATTAAATAGAACACTATATATACACAGATCAAAGGGGCAGACAATTTTATGCAATGTCCATGTTTACAGCGCAAAGTTCCAGTTTTGTGATTTTCAGAAATCGTTTCAGGGGTCAGTGTTAAAAAAACTGCTGAACTTCTAGGAAAACCAATTAACTATAGGTGTAGGGATGTTTCCAAACATTCATGGAAGGTGTAAAATTAAACCAGTTATAACAGTAGGTCAATGTAAAAATAATTATTTATAGCACACATGTGCAAGAGGTCATTTTCAAATGATGAATTTCAGATTATTATAAAAAGGATGATAAAAAATAAATCACCAAATAATTTGGGGGGCTTTCATTACAATATACCTACTTCCACATGATACTGTCAGGTGGCACACATGGTAAATTATTCAAGAAATTCATAAAGACAAAGATGATCTCAAGTAACTAGAAACCTCACCCACTAAGGAAAACTTGAATATTTCACACAGTGTCTTCATTTTCTCCTCTCTGTGCAACATCTTTGAGTAAACAGCCCAATTTTCAGGACATGTCAGGTCAAGTGGAAAACAAGTAGTTCTGATGATGATATATATATTTTTTTGCATTTTCCCTGGAATAAAATGAAGACACTGTTACATTAGAAAACAGGAAAATGAAGAGTGGGAAACGAAACAGCTAAATCACCTAAATGACTCAAGATAGGCTGCCATAATTTACTTCATTTTCAAAACAGACCACCTTCACAAAGCATCTCAGCAGCCTAAATAATGCCAATCAGTTTTCCCAGATCATTCTGGCATTGTAATAAACATTTTGCATTTCCAGCTGTTTGGTTAGTTGTTTTTCTAGGTCCAACCTAACCCTGAGTAAATGAAAGGTCAACAAGTAACAACTGTTGCGAAATGACAATGAAGAATGTCATAGTGGTGAACATTTAGCCATTCAATTATGGATTAGTTAGTTGGAAGAGCGTACAGATGCATTTGCTCATAATTGTAGGTTGGCTGCACATGCATGTGAATAAAACACCGTTGCTGCACTTGATCAATGTCAATTCAAATATAAAAAAGTAAAATCGCTACATAAAGATACTCAGAAATATTGCTGCTTTGAATTATTACCCACATCTTTCATTTCTCATGCTTGTAAAGTACGACAGTGAGGGACAAAGGCTAGTCAATGCAGTTCTTTATTAAATCAAATCCATTGGTGAAAACGATATTTCCCCCAGCAGCACTGAGAAGAATCCAGTTAACATCACCTCTGAGGTACTGACACAGACAATTAAGGATTAAGATGACAGTGTGCACAGAGACATCCACTTTTTTCTATGAAGATACAGAGGTCTGGGTTTCCATTTAAAACAAAACGAGTAGTCACTGATATCGTTACACTGCCCCAATAACAGTCTACCATCTTTGAAACTGACCAAAACAGTTATGATCTGCCTTAGGTAAATATTTTGCATGTTTTGATGCATGCATATCAATAACACTGAGTGCAACAGTAAAACAACCTGAGCTGAGCTGAACAAAAATAACTATTACATTTATCATCACTCTCCTCAACTGCATGCAAAAACAAAGTATTGTTGCTCTGGGATGGAGATTTATAAAGCCCAATTCTTCCTCAATAAGTGTTAACAGCATCTCTATTCACCTGTAAACATTATGACTTCATACATTGTGCACAACACATAAGCTATCTGCAATAAAATGCACAACACATAAGCGATAAAAAGGCAACATTGATTTGTTACCTCCGAGGATAGTTTTGTCAACATTAAATAATTGTTATGTTCAAATCATGGGGAAACATTTAGATCTAAAAGTGCTAAGATGTTAAGTATGACATGGTACAAACCTGTAGTGAAAATAATTATTAACTGTTACTGTGCGTTTCTGTATCAAACATGATGAAGTGCTAACTGACAGTGAGGAAATAACACACCATTTAACAACCTCATGTACCTCAATGGTCTTATGGCTTAAAAGGTAATTCCTGCTTATGGTACTTCTTACTGTGATGTTCTTATGAATCCATGTGTTCCCAGTGAGATCCTGAATTCAGTCTTACAGTTCTGACTTTGGGCTGTAGAACTGAATTACAGCGTACTTGCCGCTGGTCATCCAGTCTGGATCTTGGGAGGTGAGCTTCTCCCCTTGGCCCGGCTGCAGCCCGACCTGAATGTTGGCCTTAAGAGTCCTCAGGCTACACAGTGGCGCAGGTCCAAAACCTCGTAGGGCAGTAACGAAGCCCACTGTGTGATCCCAGTCCCTGTCCCCCGTCAGCTTTCTGTAGTTGAGGTCCCCCTTAAACAGCACCAGGTCTGCCCCCTGCAGGTTTGCATAAAGGTCAGGAGCATCAGCTGCCATGTCACAGAACTCATGGGGCTGTGTCCAGAAAGGATGGTCATGATAGGACCACACACCCTCCTTCAGGTAGCTCTGCCACTGGACACCACTCTTGGACATCCACCTGTGATTGGCTGCCGTGATCTGCCGAATGGTCCACTGAAAATCGTTGGCTGTGACGTCAGAGACAAACCACGGGATGGATTTGCCATGAAAGTGGACCTCACGGACAAGGCCAGAGGAAACCAGGAAATTTGCCAAGACCAAGTCAGTGACTAACTCAAAGCCAGCATTGTCTAGAACAACATCGACCCTGCCTGCAGTGGTTTCCCCTGGCTGTCCTGGCTTCTGGGCAGAAATTAGAGTTGACCATACCATGTTGGAGTCATCCACCAAGATGAAGGGTTGTAGGCTGTTGAGGGAATCTATTGGACTGGTCTTCTGCGAGTTGTCTTGACCAGCAGAGATAGACAGATCACACTTGTTCCCCCATAGAGAAACCTAGGAAGGGTGACATAAAAAAGTTAAACCTGAACCTGTTTCAATGTGCTACCTTGGTGAGGGAGAATAAGTGATACAAAAAACGGATTAATGGACAGATTAGTTTGTATGGCTTGATTAATTCATCACATTATTTGTCAAGAGTTTCTTTGTAATTGAAAATGGCAGTGGCCAGAAAGAAGTTTGATGACAGTGGTGAGACTAGTTGCAGGCTGTCAAACTAAAACCCTGGCCTAAAAGTTCTGTACAGCTGAGGGGTGCTGCATAGTCAGGTAATAATTTTCTGTGGGTTCGTCACTACGAGCAACCTGTTCAGTTTAAACAGGATTGAGCCGGTATAGAAGATACTGACCTGTAGCAGTTTGTTAAAATGCTCAAACAGCTGATTCTCAGAGAGTTCCTCCATGTTCTTGTTGATGCCCTCAAAGTATGTAAATAAGGCCATCATAGCCTGCTGAGACTCAAAAAAGCTCTGAGTCTTCACTTCATTAAAGACGTCATAGTCACTGATGGGAGGACTGAAATAAAAACAGAGATAAAATCATGACTGGAAGAGAACTACAACATAATATAAAGAAACAAAAAAAGCTGTTGGGATGGTCAATACACCAATACTTTACTGAATACCTTTTTATCATAAAACAAACACTCTAATTTTAAATTATGTAACATCTTTTAAGCCTTTTTTTAAACAATGACCCTCAATTTCATAACCTGAAACAAAATATAAAGCAATTACTGTCAGATTTCTGAACAACTAGGTGAATGATTGAATGAACTTGACAGCTTAAATAACACTGTTTTGCAGTCCAATGTGACTAAGATATAAAAATCTTGTCCTGTGATTTTGCCTATCTAAACAACTATAGTGATATATATGTACCAGCCCAAAAGACAAAGGCTCGAAAGCAGTAAATAGGGAATCAATAAAGGGTTCCCATTAAAAGATGGAAATGGTTCTCACTTGAGCCAGATGGCCTCCTGTATCCTGCGGTACATGTAGCACTCCATATAAAGCCACGGAGACTTAAACCAGCTGACGGACTCCTGGTCCCCTTGCAGTTGCTGCTGTCTCTGCAGGTACTGGTTCCAGGACTCTGTGTCTTGCATGTCGTCTGTCAGAGGTAGTACTGGCTTATCAGTTTGCAACTCATTCCTCATCTTAGACAGCAAAGATATCGTTTGCTTTTCAGCCTGGATACCCTCCTGTATGATGATGATGTATAAAAGAGGAAACACAAGCAAGACAAAATGAGCCTCACAATTCCGGATGTAGTTTAAGTTAAACTCGAACTCAGTTAATGAATAACAAGTCTTACCTCTCCATATTCTTCAAAGAACTTGTTTTTGTTGCGATGTATTGTGTCTATAACTTTGGTCAGGATCGTCGGCAACCTGTCTCTCACAGTCAAATAGGCAAATGACCTGTAGAGAAACGATGCAGCCATTAACGTTCACTTCTTGATACTGTAGCAGGTGTTTGCACCAGTAAGCTAGCCAGCTAATTAACCTAGCAAGGTGTACAGTTGGCCCTTGCTTTGCAGACATTCGGAGTGCAAAACTAATACTAGCTAGTAAACAGCTGCCATCAACAAATGCATTTGTCTGAAGTTATGCGTACACTCAGTTATTACCAACTTACTGGATTTCTGTCAGCAATACGCTAATGCTGCTACTGGTTTGAACACGACAGTGCTAGCTTTATGTGGCCGTTTAGTTACAGCAGTGTAGTTACCCACATTATTTAACATAAGTGACATAGTTGTTAAATCAGCTGTCAACGTACCCAACCACTCTGGCAGACAGGGAAGGAGGAACTCCGTGCACAGTTTGATCAGCCGCCATCATTTTTGCAGCAGACCGTTCAAATTCAAACTTTATTGATATAATTTCCAGCACAGGAACAAAGGGTAGGTGTTTGTTTGAGGCTTAAACGGGACCTGTAGACGTTTATCTTTTTTTATGTGGATTTTAGGCGGCAAAGCAGACTGTATCAAGCTGGACGTACTCTGTTTAATATTAATATTTTACACTTTATTTTTTGATTTCCTGTTTCCCTGTAGACTGGGTTTTATTTAGAATACGAAGATACCATCTAGCGGTTAGTGTGTAAACTGCACTCTTGGCAAAGATGTGTCCCATCAATGTTGCAATTATATTTTGAAGATATTTTATATTTGAAGATAGGACTTTGGTGGGGAAAGAAGGAGGGGTAGGGTATGATTTTGGCAAAACCTATTAATACTGCCTGCACCTATTTTCTTTGCAAACAACTAGGCTATCTATGTTCTTAAGAATGATTTTAGGTCCTTATCCGTTTCCACTCCAACATCCTAAAATATAGATAGAAAGAGAGAGAAACATATCGTGAACTCTAATTCAAATCAGACAGAAACTCCCCTACTTACTGGGAGAAAGACCACGAACAGAGAACAAGTGGAAACTCAGACTAGACTAATAAATAAATAAATTAATGGGTTTTTTTTATAAACTTACTGTAATATTATCGTGTTATTTGTTATTTTAATTTTTCCATGGGAAAATGCTAGTGCTTGTCAAAAACCAAGACATATTTTCAATGTAAGAAATATTTTATTTTTTGTTTGTTTGTAAACTGTAATTTTATTGTTTTTATTTATTGTTTATTTATTTATTTATTATTATTTATATTATGGGGTGGCGTTGGGACTGTGGATGGTGTGGGAGAGCCGGGTTCGATTCCCACCGTGACATCTACCAATGTGTCCCTGAGCAAGACACTTAACTCCTAGTTGCTCCAGAGGCATTTGACATATACAAGAAGTAAGTCGCTTTGGATAAAAGTGTCAGCTAAATGACAAAATATTATATATATTTTAATTTTTTATGTGAATTTCTGCTTTGGCAACATTGTTTACCTAAACATTCATGTCAATAAAGCTAATTAAAAAAATGAGAGAATGAGAGAGAGAGTGAAGTAGACCCACCTCATATTGGTCCCACTCTTGGATAAAATCAGAGCACAGGCAGCAAAGTAATCACATAAGGTTTAAGGTCCATTTTAGAGTTGGTAACGGGGCACTCTTTTTTTGGAGAACATGGCCAATTGATTTGCCTCACCCACGATTACTTGGCTGGGAAAATCCCCATATCAATTTATTCTTGGAGCCCCCCCCTCACTCATATCAGGCCTGGTAACTATGGGAACACGGCGGGCCGTTGTCAGGATGTGGGGTCCTTGGGAGTGGGAGTCCAGCTGCGTCCACCTCCGGTGTTCATCCACAGCCGGCCTCCCCATCCCCCCGCCGGGCCTCAGCCTGGCCGGATCTGTTTTTCTAAACCGAGAGAGGAGTGACTCACCACTCCGGTTTCAAAACAGGCCATGAACGGGAGGGGGGAGGGCGACAGTTAACGGTTGAAGGCTCTGTTTAAACAGATGTTTCAGCTCACCACACAGTCCTCTCATGCAACAGTAGCTTATGAAGCATTTCATTTGAGCGACTGATTATGCAGTGTGAAATTGTGCAGATTCAGACGCAAATCTCATGTCTGTACGTTTTCATTGTGACTGTGTTGTTGGTTTAGAAAAATGTATTATTGCAGGAACAATCAATTAAGTGGAAACCAGGGGTGGAACAGTCATGTGAAAGTCCAGTCTGTATCTCTACTGAATAAAGTGTCCTGAGGAAAGCCACATAAAATCAGTTTTTCTTAATGGTAGAACATTATCATAAACATCTATTGATAAAACAGAGCCAATGTGGTAAGTTCATCTACTTTTTTCAATGAACCCCTGCCTTTGCCTTTGAGCACAGTAAACATGCTTTTGTTTTGCTGTCATTTGCATACTGCTCTACCAGTGGTCTCAATCAATCTTTTGTTTGTGAAACATTTAGTTTCACTAAGGCTGTGGACAGGACAAGATCTAGGTCTGTTGTTTGTTGACAGGAGAGAGACTTTAAGGTCCTCAGGCCCTCCTTCATAGACCTCTCTGCACCATCCCATGTCTCCTTTTACAAAGAGGCTACAACTTGCTTAGTCCAGTCCTCCTTTGGACTCCCTGACCTGAGGCTGAAAGGCAACTGTAATGACAGGTCTGAAAAAAAGTGTTGTTTACAATGGGACAACATCCACCAATTCACTGATGACAACATCTGATGACAAAATATTGATGTGAATCCAAAGTGCGTTTGTGCAAAGGTCCTTCTACGCTTATCGTGCCTCTGGACAGGCAGTGTGTGGTTTGGCTGAAAGTGTCCATCAACATTTGAGTTTGTTGAGAATCACAAAATAGTAGCTGTAAATGAAGAACCTATTAAGGGTGTACAACAAGCAGGGGCAATTATTTCTTTCACACAAAAGCAACAAGTGATCAACAAGTTGTGTCTGGTGTTGGTGTAACTGACTGGGTTATTCAACCTAGTACATTAGGTCCTTGATATGGTTTACTACTAGGGATTTACACTGCTTGGCTATGGTATGCAAGGTCGAAAACAGGTTACGATGCACCGGTTCAATCAAGTAACTCACTTGTTAAGTGCTGCTGTGCAGCTCATAACCTATGAGCAACCTATGTTGATATTATAGATCTCTCTGCCATTGTGTATCTTCACAAATTAAAGAAAGAAAGAAAACAGTTACAGACAGCCCAAACATCAACTGACATCAAAACACAATTATGTACTTACAGGGACAATTACAAATTACAAAACAGTATTTACCATTGACCAGTATAGTTTGGTATGAACGGTCGAGGTAGGTTTAACCTATTTGTGTGTGGGAATCAGGTACTCTTTGTAAAACAAAACAGATGGGTAGATCAACAGCCACAACTTTCCCAACAGAAGGGCATGTGTAGGTTTTCCCTTATTTCACCAGATACTTCACATTGTACTTCCCCCAGTAGACCTATGGTAAAATAAAAGCCTTGTCAATGGTGAATCACAGGGTCCCCTAAAAATAGAACAAATGCGAACTCTATCATTTATTCTTCTAAATTTTAAGTTCATATAACCCACTACAACTGCCTTATATAAAATTGTCTTATCTTATCACTTACTGTAGCTTTCACATTACACTGTTACCGAAATGGTAACTCTAAAATGGAAGATGAAATGAAGTATAAAAGGTATTCTTGAGGAATACTGTTCTGAATATATTGTATAATAATTTGTAATTCAAGGTTTTCAACTACACAAATAAAAAAAAGCTTAAACAACTGTATTCTATTACAATCTATGATCTTCAGATGTAAATGACTGTGGGGCCTTTCTACACTCAAAACTTAAGGCAACTCACTGTGTTTGTGAGCGCCACTTCACTTTTGAGATCAAAACATTTTATAGAAAAAAATAAACATACTTGTCAATAAAACAATGCGTTTACAGCCGAATTTACTTTGATACCAAAACTTGTTGAAATGTGAAGGATCATTTACAGCAACACATTTTTAATATTTATTTATTTGGTAATATTTCTATAGTCACTTCATATTTTTATTGTCCTTATTGTATCGCATACTTTGTGTCTTGTGTCTTATTACACATTAGCCATGTAGGATTCAAAAGGGGGAAGTCTTTCTAAAATAGCTATATAACTTATATTGTCATGTCTAAGCCCTAAACATATTTTAATATTATTTTAATATTCATGTTTTTAAAACTAGTACCGTACTTTAATACTGGCGTTAAGTTCACTGAAAATATTTGAAATGTATATTTGTATATGCTAACACAGAATATTTGTGTACTTCCCTTTAACGCGTTGAAATCCTGCTAAGCTTTGAGCTCCAACCGAAAATGCAGATGTAAATGCGAGGCGACAGTGGGCAAAGCGATATTTCGTTATTTCAGTGAGAGAGGGTGAGGGACAACAAACGTACACACAGCCGCACATCGGTCTTATGTTTAACGTCCTGCTACAATAGGCTCTAAAAAAAAGTCACTACCGGCAGAGACGCGCAGCGCTAAACTATAAAACGGTGAGTCAAAGTAGCTGTTAGCTGTTTATGTTCGAACTCACCGGCTGTCAAAAAAGCTGTCTTAGCGGGGTTGATCTCACGGCGGTTACACAGTGCGGGAAATTAACGTTAACTCAACCGCCCCCTTGCTCAACGGATTTTTTCAACGGCTGTTTTTTGGCTGTTTTTTTGCCCACAGTCATGTGATTGTAACGTAAAACCCCCTAACCGGAAAACAACGACGGACGACCCTCTCCGCCACCAACGAATGCTGCGTTTGCGAGGAACAGTACAAGCTGCTGCGAGCCCAGAGAGGACGGACGAGTCCCCGGTAAAAAACAAACAACGGTGACACGGCTAACTCCACCGATTTAAGCGGAGAGCAGGTACGGCTGGCTTTTAGCTACATACTCACCCATTCGTTTACTGGTAGTGTTGTGTTATTTGGATACTTGTGTGCGCTTTGGCTGTGTGTAATTGTCACGGGGAAGTTAAAAGAAACGCATTCGTGACCAACCCCATCCCCCTTGCGTCTCTCGCTCTCTTTCCCTGTATGTGTGTGTTGTGTGCGCGCGCACGCATGTCCGTTTTCTCGCGCTAGCGATGGCAACCGACAGAGACCCGATGCAGGAGTCAGTCTGAGGCGCGCTGGTTTTGTATGGTCCCTGCTAATGCTTTATATACTTTTGTTGTTATTTTCTATTCGCATTATTGAACTGTTTTGTTTCCGTGGCGCGTTTACCCTCTGCTCGTGCTCTGCTCACATGCAGTTTAACGGTGCATTTTCAGAATAAGAGAAAATCTCACCGCGGAAGTAACTGTTCCACGTGTCTATACCTCATCAGGGGCGGTACTTTATTGTTGCAAACAAGTTAGTATTGATTAACACATGGTACTGTGGATCAAATAGTTGTGTGGCTGATCAGTAGCCTAGTAGTGTCACGCTAAGTCATGGCAATCATGCACATATTCATGAGACTTTTTCAGAAAACCTGTAAGGTCTGTGCAGCCACCAAGCAACCATGTCAGAGGCGCTGTGGCTGGAGGCAAACCATACCCGTGTTTTCTGGAGCTACATCGCAAATTAAAGCCTTTCCGGGACAATGTAAATCCTAAAATAAAAGGGAATGGAGGCTATACGGAAAATAGACATATACTGGCAAAAAAGCTTTCACAAGACATTGGTTAAAAGCTGATCCTCCACCAAAAGGCTTGACCTGCAACGGCTTGATATTGTAATAGAAATTTAATCGAGTAAGTTGAAAGAAATATTTTATAATAAGAATTGGATCATTTTCTTTCAACTGTTTAGATATGGAGAATGTCTATATGCCATGTGTTTCTGTCACATGCTGAAAGCCAAATGAAAATGGGATGACCGCGGCTAACAGCTAAGTTGTGATGAAGAAGTAGGAACCCAGCAAAAGGGTCAGTGCAACCATTAATGCAAACATATATTTGTTGGATGTATTGGGATGTGGCAGGGAGGGTGGACAGCTGCAATTTCAGTCTACAAGACAAAGTAGGTATTTTAGGTAACTCTAAATTCTACAATCATGAGGGTTATAATGTTTAGTTTTTGTTGAAACCAGAGGCCATGGTGTGGTTGAACTGAGAGGTTATTTCTAATATTTAGTACTCAATCGCATAAATGGCATTATAATGAGAGCTGTTTAGTCTATGGCTAAAACTAAAGACTATTTTATTATTTAATCTGATGATTATTAAGTGTCAAAAAATAGTGAAGAATTCCCTTTATATTCTCTAAGGAACTAGGGTGACAAAGTTGAATCAACACCTCTAAAACGGTTCGGGAGGGATGATTAATTGCAGGATTGGTAATTGGCTGCATTATTTGTAGTGAGGTGCACCTGATGAACTGGCAGCTGATTGTATATTGAAGTCATATGTGACAAGAGCATGGTTGACGGGTATTTTACGTCTTTCTGTTGCTATACCCCCCCCCCTTGCACAAGATGCGGAAATCTAGTCTTTTTTCGGAGTGCTGCAGTGCTGGGATCTTTGCACTCTGACCTCTCTGATGAAGTACATATGTGTAGATGGCTTTTTCATTGTTTTCCTAACCAGCAGGGGATATGCAGTTATTTATTTCGGATTATCTGAGGTAAATTGGCTGAGGAGGTATCCATCATCTTCCTTTCTTAGGCTGTGTTGTGTGGAGAAAGTGTTGGAGAAAAGCCTGTGAGCTGTTTCGTTTCTCCACTTGAAGGGGGGGAGAACCAGTTCTACTTTAGGAATGTGTGTCGACACCCATAACCCTGATCATGTGACGGCATGAAGCCCTTGTAGTCCTGCAGTGTCCTTTTGGGTTTACAATAGCCATCTCATTGGTCAGCAGAATGTGCAAAGCTCTGAAATGTCCCTTGAGATTGAGCGTGGATGGCATGGGCTCCATCAGAACGAAGTAATGCAGAAGGATGTTTCCTCAAAGTTTTCAAGGTGCAGACAAGAGCTATAGAGATATAACAAACTCACTTTATCTACTTTTTGTCAGTGTCTCTCACTGATATTTGGTGGCCAGAACCCTCTGTAGGTCCATATCTGTAAGAACCTGATGTAGGGCTATTTCTTTCCAGTTTAAAGGCTGATTTTTGCTCCTGAGTGAAAGTTGAAGAAATCTGATGGTTAATTGTGCTTGTTTATTGTCAACACTTGAGGTCAAACAGTGTATCACTTCACAAATCTGAGGTAGAACATTCAAAACACTTAAAATAAAATCTTTAACAAATATGCATGAGTAAAATTAAGTAAAAGCTTTTTTCAGTTCGTTTTCTTCAACAAAATTAACATCTTAATGAAAAAATTGAGTCCTAATTCATGTATGAATCAAGTGAATAAATCAAACATTTATTGAACATTTGTTATATTGTTATTGAAAAAAATTAGATTGCAATAATTATTGTTTTATTGTCAAGCCCTAACCCGATGTCACAATGGACCTCTATTCAAGCAGGAGTAGCTAAATAGAATAGATTTTTTCCTATCTCAGGTGTCACCTTTATTTTGTAATGAGCTTGCGTGTTTCGTCCTAACCATACCACCATCCTTAGAGATTGACCAAAGGGATAATGTGAGAATGATATTCTTGAAATTGAAAAGAGGTCAATAAGGAACCCTGTCTCTCTTTGTACACAGCTGTCTGAAAGATGGATATCTGCTGTTCAAATTGCTATTTAAATTCACAAATAACTTGTTTGTAGTATTCATTTCCATTGCAAATACACTTGTAGAGTGTGAATTTGGCCAGAATGTTTTTGTTGTGCTGAGTCATACGATTAATTGGCATTCTTGTCTGTGACAGTGCTAGAAAAATTGTCTCCAATGTCACAAAATGGTTTTTCACTGTTAAGTTAGCCTTTACAATGTCGTTAGATCACCACTGTCAGCCTGACTCTTTGTGGTCACAATAAACTCTGGTCTCCTTCCAGACAGGAAACTCATTGCTGCTCGTGTGTCTGTGTGCCTTTTGTGCAGGTTGAAGAATGGAGTTGGCCAACCATGGTCTTATCCTGCTGCAGCAGCTTAACGCTCAGAGGGAGTTTGGCTTCCTGTGCGACTGCACTGTGGCCATAGGAGATGTCTTCTTCAAAGCCCACAAAGCTGTCCTCGCTGCCTTCTCCAACTACTTCAGAATGCTCTTCATTCACCAGGACAGGTACAGGAGGATTGTATTAATATTGGCATCTGACACAAGCTCAACA